TAATGTTCCACCCCATGTTCCCCGGGGAACATGGGGTGGAACATTGTCAAAAAGAACGCAGGCTCGCTAATTGATGACGTAAGGCGTGATATCGCGATTAATTTCATGCTCACGTGGCACAAACTAAGCTTCCTGATTGGACAATTTGAGGTATAATATGAGCTGATAGCCGATGAGGCGCTACGCGCCTCATCGGCTATCGCTCATATTCGACGAGAATGAGTGGAATAACTGTTTTATTATATACACAAGGTCTGAATTCACAGATTTTGCTTTTCGAATATTTTCAATATTTTTCTATTTTGTTTATGTTTTTATCTTCGCTCTTTCGGCCGATTATTTTTTCAAAAATATATATTTTTAACCATTTTAAATATTAAAAATTAATTGACTAACCTCAAAACAATTTGTGAGAGTTTTTTCATTGTGTTTTTAATCCTGTGAAGGCTATAAAAAGCGACAACGTACTTGCCGTTTTCTCGTTTGCAAAACATCGTAAATTCAGTTTGGCCGCCATTTTGTTTTTCTCTACTAGCAGGATATGAGCTATTATTATACACTCACGCGCACTTAACCAATCAGTAATCGTTGAGAGGGTCACGTGCCGATTCAATATTTTACGATATTGGACAGGAACCTATTGGACAGTTGCGAATTGTGGCTTTTTTCATGGGTTTCTCAACCCTTTTCAGATGTTTTGTCAATTTCAAGCACACGAAAAACGATATGGCAGAATAATGAAAAGAATTTGGGACATTAGTACAGTTTTTTCTACCAGTTTTGTCTAAAATTATAAAAGCGCGGGAAAACTTGTCTTCGCGAAATTTATTTGGTTGCAAGAAGTTAGTAATATTATTTTTTTCGTTAAAATTAGGTCGAATTTCCTTTAAAAATACATGGAATTGAGTTTATTTATGCACACATATTTGTAAAAACAGGTTTATTAACTTTTTTAGTTATTTAAGCAAATTCGCCACCGATATATGTATAGTGATGTTGTCGCTGTATTAGTCTCGTTGTATTTACTTTATCGCTTATTGACAATTTTTGTCATAGAATTGTTTTGTTCGATATAATAAAACTCCTATTGGATTCATCTTCGCCCAATATGGCAAAATATTAAGTCTCGACTTCAATATTAGGCTCGACCTTCGGTCTCGCCCAATATTGAAGTCTCGACTTAATATTTTGCCATATTGGGCTCAGAAGAATCCAATAAGATATAATATCCTGCTAGTAGAGAACCAATCAGATTGCAGAATACCTCATATCCAGACCTTGTGTATATAATAATGGCATATACTTTGATCACATCCTTGACAATTTTGTTGCTCTTGTGCAGGGCATGTTGTTAAAACGGCATTTATCACACGTCAAGACCGCCTTTTGTTTGCCAAAAACCTAGAAGTATTGCTTGTACACTTATAAAGGTTACCTTGGCGGCCGCACGCTCTGAAAAAATTTCTTATCGAAAATCTGGCGTACGTAACTAGCTTTGATCCCATGGATTATAAGTTTTCTGTCTAACCGTAGACTGCCTAGCGGTTAAAGTTGGTGTACCGCAAGGAACAAAATTGGGACCAATCTTTCTTTTCGACTATGATCAATGCTCTAAATATTTCATCCCCAGAAAATACTGGTACTCGGAGATTCATGGACGATGTCTCCATTTCTTAGTCCCTGCCAAGGAACGGTGAGTCCCATAGCCCAGGCAGAATCAACAACAACTTGATAAAATTAATTCAAAGAAATGTAAAGAGATGCACATACAGTATGTTTCCTTATAGCGCGACGCCCTTTAGAACGTCTTAATTTGAAGGGGCATCCCTTGGAAATTGTTTCTAGTCGCAAGGTTCTTGGCTTGCATGTCATACAGAATAATCTTAAGTGGAATGGACATATTGCTATGGCTGTAGGAAAGGGCTTCAAGCCTTTTCATATCCTCAGAGTTCTTAAACGTGGTGGCATTCCACATCACGAACTTATCCATATTTACTATGCACTCATTCGCTCCTTTTCGGAGTGTTGCTGTGTTATGTGGCATAACAGCCTACCAGCTTATCTGGCCGACTCAATTGAAAGAATCCAGCCGGAAACAGCACTGAATATAATCGCCCCGGGCAGGTTTTACCGAAAGCTTTGAGTAAGCTCCATTGTCCTTTTCGAGATGTGAGATGCAATGCTTTGTGCGAAACAGATATGAGCACTGAATTTCAAATCATAAACTGAGAAAAATTATAGGATCATACATATAATAACAGTCTATGTGCGGATATATAACGATCTATAAATATAATGTTCAGGGAATAATCTTTCCTGAGATTTTACTCGTGTGATGTGAATATACTATAATGTTTAATTAATATGCGCAACCAAGAATTTTGGAGAAAATATTTTGAAGCAGCAGGATGATATCTGCACTCCATGCATGCATTGTGATCAAAGATCTTCTTGAACTTTCAGAACAATCAGCTGGATTACGTTTTTAGTCCTTAGTTGGCGGCATTGTCCCTCTCAAAAATTTTCTAGAGTCTCAGAAACGGCAAGTTCCTTCAGAGGACAGGATAAAACTGAGAATGTATGATTGAAATCTTATTGACAACATGCCTTGGTTCGCATGCCAATAAGAAATACTTCTATATATGGTTTTGCATGGCAAACAAAAGATTGCATTGACAAAACTTGTCAAGGAAAACTTGTTGACCCTACGTGTCTACACACAGGGAAGTAAAGTTCTCAAGGAAGTTTCTGAAGGAAACCTTGATCGTCTTTACGGGACTTAAGGCAGCCTTTAATTCAATTCAACAAACGAAAGCAAGGCACATGCATGATGGGACAAATCTTGTAAGATTTTTCACAACGTGTACGATTATTTCTTCGAACATTTCCTGCACAAACTTGTTTTCCTTGTTTCCTAAATATAGGGACTGAATTATTTTTGAAATGCTCGAAGCACCCGCCGAAAATCTACTGGTCGACGACCCACTAGTAGGTATTGCGTATGAGCCAGGAGTAACGTTTTCATAATTAACAAAGGTGGGTTTCTGCCATGGTGCAAATTGTGATCAACTCTATTTCGACATATAGTAAGTATATATGTAGTTTTTAGTGAGCCAGAGACAGGAGCCTATAACATCCTACTGTCCAGACAAAACAAACTAGCACTGACGATATACTCAAAGAACAAATTGAATATAGCACTGCAGTAATCTTGGAGCATGCGCAGTATATCCCACTGGGTGGCACTCTCCTTCAAGGGTAAAATCATCTCGCGTTAAATGAAGTAAAACAATAAAGTAAGGCACATCGGAGCACATTGTCACTTGAAGCGATTTTGTGTAAATAAGTTGCAAGCCAGAACACACATGCATTATTTTTCACTTTGAAGCGGAATTAAGAGGGTGGGAAAGGGGGTATGGATCACGTTTCACAACGAAAAATAAAACAATTTCACGGAAAACTAGATTCTAACAAAATTTTAATTTTTAATTTTACAAGCTTTGTCATAACAAGAATGCATCATGACAAATAACAATAATTACATATATAACATAACAAATGTGACAGGAAATCACAACAGCTTCAGGCCAATTACTGTGATCCCCAAATTACTGTGATCCCCAAATTACTGTGATCCCAAAATAATAATTAATATAGGTTTATTTAGAGTATATGTTTAATGCATGGTACAGTATCTACGCTTTAAGTTCTCTCACTTCTCTACCTATCAGTTAAAAACTACATCATAACTTAGAAGTTTGAGTGACGAGTATGTCCGACGACCTCCGAAGTTTTTTACTCTTGTGCAATCGAGTGAGATAATATAAATTGATTATCGCGTATCATGCCTATTATGGCTATTATAAAATAGATCGAAATAAAAAAAGCAAAATCGCAGTTCACTAAACAGGCATCCTTAATTCTCATTTCACATCACGACACTAAAATCAAGCATTTCACATTTCACGTGAACGAATATTGACCATACACTGCTCACGAAAATACCCTTTCCCACCCTCAATTAAGGCAACATCTAACATCAGCGGAATATATAGAACTCCGTTTTGGTAACGTCACTGTTGCCATGGCAGCATCGCAAAGGTAGTAAACCTTTATTTTAGTCACAAAATTGTGTCAGAAACAAAGTCGGTGGCCTATCAATTATATTTAATATATCAATAGAGCATGATGTTCTGCAACCATTGCAAAAGTTCAATAAAAATCTATTGTGTGCGATTGCTTTAAATTTGACATGTTATGCATAGGCTTACTAAAGGCAGATAAAATAAACAAAGATCGTGCATTGTAGTTGAAAGTCAATTTCAAATTCACTGGTGTCAATAACTCACTTTATAGCTGTGCAGTCCATCAATAAAATTCAGCATTTTGATTTGTTCTTGAACGGTCGGAAACCAACAATACAGTATATACAGACCGCTGAAAAACAAAAAGAACAACAAAAACATTTCAATAAAATCGATTTAAGGCTTCTTAAATCTCCACATGTACAGTAAGGCTCTCTTAAATCCTGTTCGTTAACTGTAAGTTACATGAGCAATTTTTAAAAACCGACAATGCAATGGGTCAAATTGAGAAATTGCATGACATGTAAATCACGTTCTGGCAGGGTTGGATTTACTGGGGGGGGGGGCACACACCCTAGCCCTGGCTAGAGGGAGTGCTTGGCTAGGGGGGGGGGTGCCATTTCCCACGATAAGGCAAAAAAATATTAGAGACAAAATGAGATACAGTAATTTGAGTAATAACATGACGATAAGTGAATTGTGAACAACAATTACAATTCAAGTACAGTGGTCAAGCAAGTCTTTGCAGTGGCCTTGAAGACATGACCGACACAACTCGGCACCAGAGCCGACAGAGAATCCCCCACCCCCCTACCAGATCATGCTGGATCCATCCCTGTGTTTTGTCAAGATAACGGCCGGCTAACTAGTGAAAAAAATGTTTCGGGGGTAATTAATCAAACTGGCAGACTAGTAAAACATATCCAGGTTTACACATAACTGTCCACACCTTGCAAAATCAATTAATTTCTAAAACGTTGTTGCTTTAATAAGATCAAAAGAATAACTACAAATTCATACACGTTTAAAAAGATGTTAAGAATTTTAGGCAGCCTATATTGACAACATAATATTTTTGTGATCACACTTCACAGTAATCAAACTTTTAATCATGTGCCTAAAATTAAGAGCACTGAATTTTGCCAAGAAATAATGAATTCATGTACGCACAAATCATGAATGCACTTTTTATGCCAGACAAAAAAATCACATGTCTTGCCACTTCCCTTGCACGGGTAACATGGTCAAATTTGACTGGGTGCGTTCCCCACACGTAAAAAAATCTCATGTCTAACCCTAGCTTAAGGTTGCAGTTTCAAAAGGAAATTACACATGTGACAGTGAAATCACAGCTTTGATTTTTTATAACCATCAACTGAGGGACATTAGAATTGGGGGTCAATATGCAGTCAAATATAGGCAGAGCAAGCCAGTAGCGTAGCCAGCTCGATAATTTGGGGGGGGGGGATATTCATATATTCGTGTTCGCAGACCTTAAAAACAATCGATTTCAAAAGAAATTAACTGTGCAGAATACGAATATATGAATATGGGCCCCCAAATTATCGAGCTGGCTACGCCACTGGAGCAAGCTCTGAAGGTGTGTTAGGCAATGAGAATTGGGTGGGCGAAAAACACTCCATCATGGTGTATGTTGATTGTTTACTAATGACAGGGTGCATACATATTAATAACTTACTGACCGAGAGTGAGGGCAGTAAGGGAAAATATCCAACTCAGGTCTTGCTGTATTTACCGAGCGATAGCGAGGTCAATACAGCAAGACCGAGGTTGGACATTTTCCCGTACTGCCAGAACAGTTGAGGTCAGTACGTTTTCTATTACATGGCATTGTACGTTTGTAAAAAATGGAAAAAAGGTCACGCGAGGGCAAAGTACAAAGTCCGAAACATTTGGAAAAAAGAACAATTGTAAAAAATGTTCTCTTCGTTAGTAAAACTACCCCACAGCACTTTTTATATAGAATACTAACACAGTTTGGATAGCATTTCAAGACAAAAACGAGGTATTTCGTGATTTAATCAAAGACAATTACAAATATGAAAACAATAAAATTAATAAACAGTATGGACAAGTACGTTTTTAGTTCGCTTCATCTCATAAATGTCTCTTTTTATCGAACAAAAACAGAAATGTAATTTTCAGGAAAAAATATATATCTGTGGTTGATTTAGTTGTAGTTTTTATTTAGGATGGTGTCAAATTCCTCGGCTATCTGCAAATAAAATTTGCAGCTCTTCACAAAGTCAAAACACAGCTATTCCTGACTGGTTTAATAGTTATAAACATTGTAAAATTTACCTGGTAATTTCGACTTTCGCTAACAAAAACCTAGTGGGAAAGTTCTTTAACCACAGAAGGTGCACATTTTCTTTACTTTAGGTTTATTTTTCTTCTTTTTGAATAGTTTGAAAGACTTTTAGACTCTTTTTGCCGTTTGAAACTCGGCTCTCGTCGCAGGGCAATAAAAATTGCGTATTGCCCGTGGCAATACGGGAAAATCCTACCTCGTCAGCAGCCAATCAAATTGCACGATTCATCAAAACAAATCGTTGCCATATATAATAATAGTATAATACCGTTTATTTGATAGAATTGTGAGGGAAAACTCCCATTGAGAATATAGCTTAAAAGTTATATATTTATATATTAAAATACAGTAACTTTTTAGAAGTGCCAGACCTAGAAAATATATTCTCTTCCTGGCATTAAACCTTCAAAATAAAAATTTCCTGTGTAAGTCAAACATAAAACTTCTTGCATAAAGTATGTAGATTTCGGAGAATGTATGGTGCCGCACCACAGGGGCCCAAGCACGATTTGCCCGCGCCCGCCTGTGCCTTCCTTATAACGAGGGAAAGACGGAGACATTGAGACCAAAATAGCCCAGACTTGGCATATGTCACACGAAACTATCCTCGATTTTTCGCTTTTAATGCATTTCTTTCACGATTAATCGATATCCCCTGCAAGAATGATACCGTATAACCCTCAAAACAACGATGCTTTAATCAAAGAGCTTAAATTCGCTCTGAAATCCGTGAGGGAATAACAAAATTCGGCCAAAATATATCCGCGTGCCGGGTTTGCTGTGCAAAAAGCGGAAGTCGTTGAACAACTAAAAATACACTCAACCCTGATTGGACAACGAATATCAACAAACATTTCAAATTTTTTTAACAGTACTGTAATAATTTCAATCATACAAACAAAACTATTCACAAACGTTATAATAAAGTGTAAATATTACTGCATGTAAATATAACTGTAGTACGTTAATATGTATAATAAATTGTATTTCACATTGTGTTTGTTAAAAAAAATTGAAATGTTTGTTGATATTCGTTGTCCAATCAGGGTTGAGTGTATTTTGAGTTGTTCAACGACTTCCGCTTTTTGCACAGCAAACCCGGCACGCGGATATATTTTGGCCGAATTTTGTTATTTCCTCACGGATTTCAGAGCGAATTTAAGCTCTTTGATTAAAGCATCGTTGTTTTGAGAGTTATACGGTATCATTCTTGCAGGGGATATCGATTAATCGTGAAAGAAATGCATTAAAGGCGAAAATCGAGGATAGTTTCGTGTGACATATGCCAAGTCTGGGCTATTTTGGTCTCAATGTCTCCTTCCTTCCCTCGTTATAAGGAAGGCACAGGCGGGCGCGGGCAAATCGAGCCTGGGCCTCCTGTG